GAAACTGACAGCAACCCATCACACCCAGCTGAGTTATATCTTGGTGTATAAGCCATCTTAATATACTTACTCTCTTACCTTAAAACCCTTCTGAAGTTGATGGAGAAAGTGGAACTTATCCCTTGTTTCCTCCTTTACACTGCTGGAGCCAGGGCAAGCTCCCTGTCCCTGGTCTCCTGCTGATGACTGCAGACTGCATCCTGACTGATGCCATCTCAAAGGTGGGCTCGCAGTTAGCCCAAGCACTTTGCTTTCCAAAATTCATAGTAATAGTAATTAGACAGGAATAGTTTCTGAGAGTAATCATTAAATTTGAATACCACAGGATTAACACCATATTGTTTCTGCTTAACTATCAAATGTTTAGATGTTCTGCTTTCTTCAGCAGTTCTCCCTTTGTGACATGCTTTATAGTTCAGCACTTTCCCATTTTTAATCAGAAAGCTGCCCCCTGTGAAGTGAGCGTGACACTAGCCCCAGCAACCACACAGGTCTGGCTGCCACTGGCAACAGAGGCCTTGACCCATCCTAGTTTTAAGATTCCTTTACTTTTACATTCAGTTCTCAGTCTCACAGCACTCCCCACTCATCTGAGAGGCTTTCTGAAGGAGAGCAAGGCTATATGCCCTACACTTCACTCCTCAGGAAATGCTGAACCACTTGACTGACAGAAATGCTTTATAAGCTATTTTATTTAAATATTTTCTCCAACCTGAAATGGAAAATGACTGTCTTTGCTTGGAAGAAGGTTATGTAAACAATGATCTTTGCAGCACAGCGTGTCTCACATGGAAGATCAGTTTTAAGGCGGCCCTTAGAGTACTTTCAGATATCCATTGGTATGTCCCCTTTGTACTGCTTTTCTCTGCTTTCAACCCAGGCCTTATTGATGGTGCGCTTCATCTCATCGTCCCCTTCCGCATACATCTTTTTTAAAATGTTCATAAGCCCTTCACTAGGATCTGTGGTGTCATAGGCAGCCTTCCTGCAAGACAGATACATGAGAAAGTCAGGTATACCCAACAAAATTAATTGCTATGTTTGTTTGAAACATGCTGGTAACAGGACTTTTGCTTTGATAAAGTCTTTAGATCATGGTAGTCTCAGTTGGCTTCCAAATAGGAAGAATCCTAAGAAACACCCTTAAACCAAGTGCAAGCTGAGTAACATACCTAGAGATGTCCCATGGGGTGGGGACAGTATTCTGATGTGAAACATTTTGCAGTAAATGTTACTCTGGAAGCACTCCCAAAATTAACTGTAGAAAGCAGAAGTGAAATATAACAGACACAGAAAAGTGCCAATACCTGCCACGTGTTACATAACAGGTGAATAAAAATGGAGGAATGTCCACATCAGGCTCTTTGGAGAGACCACATTCACAACCCAAAAGGCTTTTTTTCTGCTTCCCATTTTTCACATCATCTCCAGCAGTTAACTAACTTCTTAACACATTACATTTCAAAGCAATTTTCTCAGATGATTAACAGTGCCACAAGCAGCCAGCACCCGTGGAGGACATGGCCTGTATGAACCGACTACAAATAATGACCTCTCTATCCCATTTTCCAAAATCCTGTAGGTAGTCCTATTGCAGTCTATCTCAAAAGCAGATGAAAACAGATCAGCAGAGGGAGCAATTTCCTCACGCTCGGGGCTAACCATCGGCTGCACAAACCCTGGCTGGGAGCAGCATTTCTGGAGCCGTTCCTTTGACAAACAGTAACTCTTTGGGAATTCTCTGCACAAGATACAGGTTTAACAAAGTAACCCCGTTCCTCCAGAAAACTGCATTAATTGTCAAGTCACTTCCTCTTAAACCTCCTGTGCTGCCATTTGAGTAAAAGAGGCCATTTTGCCCTAAATTCAGGTACTTATGCCTGATCAGTTTTAGCAAATCACCCTAAAAACGTACACAAAATGAATTATTGTTGGCACGGATAAAATTCTTAATAGCATTCTCATTCTTCAAGGTGGCCATACAAGTAAAATAACATTAAATCATTATATGATATGTATATATATATTTTATGAAGTCTTTTGCCCCCAGGTGTTTCCTGTTGTCATTTACTACCCTCATACCTGTGTATGTCTAAGCTGCCTGCTGCTCCCAAGCACTTGAAGCACAAACTGGCTTGAGACTTTGGAAAACCGTCTAAGTAAACAAAGACCTGCTTTGCCAAAAGTATGCTGGGATTTTTGTGTAGGCACTTCATACACAGGTGACAATAATTATTTTGACCAATATTGCTGCAGGGGATCTACCCATATATTTCTATATAATACAAACTTGATCTAAAAACAGTCACCTCACTAACGCAGTTATTGCAATGAATCTTTCATTGGTTGATTCCCCTTGGAATTCTCACTGCAGGTCTTCCCTATCCTATGTCCTATGATGAAGCCTTTATCATTAGCAATACAACAGGGGAGGAATGGCAGCTACTCAAAGTATATTTCTTCCAAGTGCAGTCCTACAAGTATCAAAAGAAGTCCCAACCTGATAATCCTCCAACATCTCAGGGCCTGTCCCCCACCCCATCAATCCTCAGAATAACTGCACAGTTGGTACAGATCTCTCCCATCAGTCCTAAAACAACACAGACAACAGGAAATGGAAAACAAGACGGAGGGTTGAAAAGACACTTACTCTTTCTCTTTGCTTTCTTTTTCCACTTGAGTGAGACAATCCCATTTTTCCTCCCGCTTCTTCTTACACATGACAAGGATCATGTCTGTCTTTATCTGTATGGTGAACAACAGCAAGGCATGAATTTAGAATGTTTCATGAAGGGATGCCAGTCAAAATGAGTAAGGTTAGCTTGTAACAACATAAGTCTCTTCCATACTCACAAATTCCCGAGCATTTCTCTCAGCTATCCATTATTATGTAGCATACAAAAATTACACCATGTACTCAGCCTCAGGGTACAAAGTATTAATTCCACTGTGGACAATTTATATATGTGGTTAAGAGAATACTAGTACAGACTTATAATGCCAGTATAGAACATAAAGTGCTGCAGGAACACTGTCCAGAGATTTAAAGGCTGCTCAAGCACCCAGGATTGCTTGGCAAAGAGTGACTATATTTACAAGACTTCTCCAAGCATACCAAGTTGAGGTAGAGGCTCCTCCAATTTATTTCTCCAAGGGTAAGAAACTAGTTCTGGGGTATTGCTTAATCTTGCAACATGTTTGCAAACTACAAATCCTGTTGACTTGCAACCCTGACCTAAATTTCACAAAGAACTCCAGCATGCCACAGCAGACAAGGGTCTACTGCAGCTTTAGCTTGGCTTAACAAGTACATGACCACTGCTCGCTTTCACACTGTATTAAAAATCACCGGAGCATCACTCTTGCTTATTTCAGCTGGTTGAATTTCACTCTGTACTCATTTCAGACCCATTTCCAATTCAACCAGTAGTTCTTCACATCTGATGTCACCAAGCACAACAGAGAACTCACAGGAGGTTTGTGACATATCTCAGCCTGGAAAGGTGCCACAAGCAGCGGAGTATGCATATCACCAGTCAGCAGCAGCACAATGTTACTAGTTGTCCTGGTTTTGGTTTCCCTTATAAAATTAACACCCTGCTAAGGTTAAACCAGCACACCAGTGTTCAGTTCTGGAGCAACAAACCCTTACTAAGGCAGAGCAAGTTCCACACTTGGCTTTGGGAATTAAACCTATTTAAGCTTCCCAAGCTTTCAGTCTGCTGACAAATCTCTTAAAATTGCAAAGAATTTCTCAGAGGTATTTAAAAGCATAAGGATGCAAATGAACACTTGGTGGTATTTTCTCCTTAATTATTTCTGAAATCCTGTTGGTGAGCTATTAAATATCCAGACATGATCTCTTGAAATAGGATTCCAGAGACTAATTCTGCAGTTATGACAATCACAGATTAGTAGGACTCATGTTCACAGTGCAAAGACTTAACAGCAGAAGGGAGGGACTGCACATTAGAATGGAGATTCCTGAACTAGCCAGGAAATGAACATGATACTCTGTGAGAGCCCTAAATTACCTCTGACAAGGTGCACTGACCTTTCTAGAGCTGCCTTCCACAGAGATGGGCTTCAGGAGGTTGTTGAAGGTCATGGTGTAGTTCTTCCCATTCAGATTCTTCACTAGCAGATCAAATGACCTGGACACAGGAAGTGGAGGGAGGAAAGGCACAAATATTCCAATCATTACACTGTCTGAAAACCCTTTAGCGGGTGTATTTCTTAGGAAAGCAGAGTACTTCTTGGGAAAGCAGACCAACAGGCTTGAATTATGTTATTTTCAGACCTCTCAAAATGTTCAGTTTTAACAGAGAAATTAAAAGGACCAATCCAGACTCACAACAAATCAAGATCTTTAGGATCCTTTCTACCTACAAACTTGGAAACCCAAATTTCCTTAATGTACACCTCAGTTCTATCAGCACAAATAGCCAGGGCTAACACTATTGTGCTCCATCAAGCATGGTGAGGTGCACTCGTAAAATGAAAACACCCCGATACCCTCAAGTGCTACTAAAAGCTAATACAACTGAAGTTCATAAAAAGAAAAAAGGGTGTGGAGAAAAAAAGGCTGATCCAACACTCCTGCATTTCACTGTTCTTGTTGTGCTACAAGATGAACTCACCTCTCTGTGAAATTCACCTGCACGTTCTCAGCTGGAAGCTTCTGGACACCATTTAAAGAGATGTAAATCTTAACAAACTTATCTGACTGATCCCAACCTGGAAGTGAAAAAAAGAGATTAAGTTCTACCTTTCCTCCATAAGCTTCATGCACTCCAACTTCCCCCACAAAGCCCCCTAGAACTAGGGTCTTTTCCTTACTGAAGCAATTTTCAGAGCGATAAAAGGAAAACATGAATTATTCAGGAAAACTTGAGAGCAAAAAGATGTTCCCCCCCCCCCCATGTAGCCCTGTTCCCTAATCCCTGCAAGTTCTGAGAAAACTCAAGTATCAGGTCAGGTCAAAAGAGAGCAACCCGGGCTGTGCAGGGGGAGTCAGAGCCAGCTGTTTGCTCCTGCTGCAGATTCCTTGACCCACTTCTTCCCTTACTCCCTGCATCTTGAGCAATTCCCTCTCCTCTCACCTACATGGGGAGCAGAGAAGCCAAGACTTACGTTCCTGCTAAACACTAAGCAATGGAAAAATACCAGCTGATACAGCAAGAATACTTAATGCTTCCCACCAAACACTACCACACAAACACGATCAATACACACTGGGTTTGGATGGCAAGTAAACATGTGGCAGCTTTTAAAGGGGGGGTCTCCAGTGTGGAATAAACACTGGAGATGTGGAATAAACAATTAAAGCTTCACCATGATGCTAAGTGGCAACTCTAACTCCTAGTAATGCCATCCTGCCACCTCTTCAGAGAGATGCTAGAGCTCTAGAAAAACAATCCTACCGTAATTGTTTATCTTCACTGTGTACCCTCCCAGCGATGACTTTTCTTCCTCTGCCACATCTTTTGGCTTTGGCGGAGGCTGATTCTTAATTTCCAGCTCCAGCTTTTGTTTCTCTGCCACAAGGACATCACGCACCCTCTTCCTAGTGGCATTTGTGAGCAGCTCTTTAACCTCTTCCAAATCTTTCTGCAACTGGATCAAAAACAAAGGATCACACGTATACATCACATACATTCTTTGTGCTAAGGGCTCATAGCTTTCTATGACAATTTCACGTATTCTAGATACTGGAATTTCAGCTTTATCATGCCAGTAGTTTAGTTTCCCACTACAAGCAGTTAAGCACGGAATTATCCCTTCCTCACCCCCGTCCACTCCTGTAGGTATGCACAACCACAGAATCCTAATTCACACAACGGGTCGGGCTGGAAGGGTGCAACTCCCCTGCTCAGCCACGGCCATCTCAGAGCACAACACTGGAAGACACATGCAAGACCATCAATTCAGACAAGGTTTAAGCTTTCACTGCTTAACTCTTCATACATTAAAAACCAACATGAACCACCAGAAGCTGGGCGGATGGCACAGCTCCCTCAACACGCACCGCCGCAAGGGGAGCCCTCCACAGCGCTCAGCGACCGCGGGGACTGGCGGCTGCCCGCCTCCCCGCCGGGGCCACAGCGCTGCCCCTCGCCCAGGACCCCGCCTGCGCCCGGGGAAAAAGTCGGGAACGGCCTCACCTCCTCCCGCGCCACGGCCATGGCGGCTCCCCGTGGAACCTCTGGAACCTTCCGGCCGCAGGAAGTGACGCGCGGCCACCGGCACCGCCCACCCCGGCCCTGAGGAGGCGGGAGCGGGAGAATCTCTCCCCGCTGTGGCTCTGAGGGACGGGCGGGACCGGGAGCTTCTCCCCCTGCCAGACTCTGGCGCACGGGCGTGTTGTGTGTAGTAGATATAATTCGCGCCATTTCTAGTATGATATATGCGATACTGAATATTTGTTGGAGTATACACGTTTGTATTAGGAGTCGTCCCCCTCCCCCCCACTCTCGCAGGCGAAACCTGGTTTGTGTTGAAACAAGTAAAAGGATGTAGCTCGGCCGGGAGATGGGCCATGTCCGAGATGGATATCATGGAAATCCTCAGGCAAATACATGTGAATGCAGCGTTCCCGTAAATTTCATCAAGGGATTCAACAACTCTCGGACGCTGAATTGTTCTTCCTCATCACCAAAAAATAAAATCTTATTAACCTATGGACTCTGAATGGAAGAAAAGACAGACTGCCGAAATCTTGGCCTCAGGCGGAATTTTCCCTATGAAAACCGCTTGTGCCAGGATGGAGGTGTGTGGGCATAGAGGAAAACCTCTGCTGAGGCTGACTCCTTGTTGCACACCCAGGGCCGACCCCGGGCTCGGCTCTGTTCTTTCCTTGTGGCTGGCTAAATAGAATTGGATTGCAAAATAAAGATTTTATTTTTCCATTTTAATTTGGCTGGACAAATTTTCATTTATAACAGGCGGGACTGGGAGCTTCTCCCCCCCGCCCTTGGGCTGTGAGGGACGGCGGGACAGGGGCTTTTCCCGCCCCCCGGGGCTGCTCTGTGTGAGGGGTGGCTGAGGCTGCTGGGATTTAGTTTGGCGATCAGAAATCTCCCCCCTCATTTTACAGCAGATGCCCCTGAACTCGTGGCTGTCAAGGTCCTCGAATAATTTTGCAAAATAAAGTGTTGTTTTGCTTCTTCAGGCAGAGAGTATCAGGCTCATGTGGTGGAGGTAAATAAGTGATGAAAAGGGAAGAAATCTCTGTTCGCGGCCTTTAAAGCAGGATGGGCTTATAAACTAAGTGCCATGTTCTGTGTCTGCTCCTCATTTTCATGGTTATTGAGGTTGGAAAAAACCAACCTCAACTCCAGCAAGGTTTAAGCTTTCAAATTCTAAGATTTCATCAATTATAAAACAACCAAATCCAATAGAAGCTGGGTGGATAGCACAGTGCCCTCACATACCACCACAGAGGGAGACCTCCACAACTAATGCATAATAAGCTTTCTACAGCAAACCCAGAGAGTAAGTTACTGTTGGGAAATTGTTCCTGACCTGTAATGTCACAGTGTGTACTCTGGGACTGTCTTTGTGAGTAAGAAACTTAACTTATCAAACCATTTGCAAGGAAAATGTAGATTTTATTTACAGAGCATTTGGCTATAAGCATGTAAAAACATGCTGGTGTAATACTACCAAAATTCTCTTTTAAGCATTTTCCTCATCAAAAGAAAAACATAACTGTTGACACTGTTACTAAATCAGTGCAGTAAGCACCAACAAATAAAATTTCTATAGCCCCAGTGGGCATTATAGTTTCCCTGGAAGAAAACAATAAGGCAATGGCACTCTTTATCTCAGCAGGAATGTAGAGGAGGCAGCGTTTGCCCTCAGATATCCTTTATAAACAGTGTGACCCAAGGCAGAACACAGCCCTTCAGCGCAGAAAAAGTCCATTTCTCTAGAAAAAGGTGCCAGTTGTAACACCTGTTTAACCAAACTAAGAATGTCAGCTCATTTGCTGATACACAGGCTTTAGGTCTGGGTTTTTGTGTCTTCTAAAGTGAACATCTAGGAATTCATCTGTAAAGAGATCTGTAGAGGTAGGGAGGGAAGAAGAAATTTGACGAAAATAAATTCACAGAAGTCCTGAAGCCAAAGATTTACATTCAAGTTGGCACTCCCCAAAGTGGTTTTAACAGATGTACTGAGGTGTTTATTATAACCCTCTGCTGCAGTGCTTCAGGATCTGCAGTGGAGAAAAAATCTGCAAAATTAACTGTAGGTATTCTAAATTTTCATAGGACTAAATATAAGCCTGACTATCTTCAAGAATAGCATTTGGAGACAGGTTAGTTGATTTTATCCAGGAAATACAATATGGTCATCTGGAATTTATGTTTATGGCAGTTGTTTTTTTTTTTTTTTTGTTTTGTTTTGTTTTTTTAATTGGTTAAGGACAGTTGCTTATTCAGGAATTACTTCCTTACATTTTTTTTTTTTCTGTGCAACTGAGACAAGGAAAAAATTTGTGGTTTTTAATGTAGCTACTAATCTTTGAGTTTCACCACACTGAGTTGTGGTCTTATATTATATTAGCAAGTGCTCTTATTTTTACAATTTAAATTGGTATTGCTTTCTAATTTAAGTTCTGGCTAGAGGAGGAAATGCTTTCATTAACATAGAAATGCATTTGAAGTGAGCCTGTAATTTGCTTTTTTCCTTAAGTTTTTTGGGTTTTTTAAGTGTTTATTTCGTTTCCTTAAATGATGAGTAATTCTACACACATGGCACTTCCCTTTGAGTGGCAGCTTCCATGTGGAAGAGTTATCACTCTTGTCATGTAAAACAAGCTCCACACAGCTCTCCTTTGCAGGAAGTTGCAACAGCATCTGGATGCTGCCTCCTTTTCTGACAAACATTTTGGATAGTGATGTGGAGGTAAATCCATACAAAATATTATGGCTGGTAAATTTAATCTTCAGCTTTTGTCCCTCTTTGCCTTATCTTCCCCTGAAGTGCTGTGTGCTTTTGCTGTTACCTGGGAAAAACAGCAGTTCTTCTCAGTTAATGGAAAAATTAATCATAGAGCAGTTGCTCACATGGAAAAAAAGGTTTTATAAAGCATTTGGATACTTTTGACTGCAGCACATTCTCCTCTCTGTTCTTGCTCAGCACTGCCTCTCTCTTAGTAGTCACGTGCCAGTTTCTTGCTGTTTCATTCTCCCCCCTTGTCTCTTCCTGCCGGTGCACTGCCTCAAGGCTTGTGTACTCCAGACCTTAACAACAACTACCGTCCCACTGCTGTGTATCACCAACCTTTAGGAAAAGCATTCTCTGTGCTGGAAACCTCAGACTGGCATGTGGAGCAGGGTGAGCTCTTATCCCTCTGGCACAGCTGAACAGGGACACTGTCCTAAGAAACAGGCTGGAATTAGCATGCACCCCCTTTGGACAGCCAACCTGCCAAGTCATTGTGCCCCGGTGCAGCAGAGCTGCTGGTGAGAACTGTGTCAGAAAACCTGACACAGCAGCTGCTTCTTCCTGCAATCAGATTTAAGCTGCCTCTTAAGTATTAAGTATTTTCTTAGGAAAATAAGCATCTTATTCTCAAGTTGTTTTCCATTTCTGTTTATTTTACAAGGCATCGTTCACACAATGATAACAAGGTACTGATCTGAACATTTCTGTAACAATTAAAAAAGTAAACATTTGTTGTGACCAGGTACATTGAATTGCACTTTTAATAACAAGCATTACACTTATATTTTCATGTTGTACTTTATATAATACATGGATGTGTTACCCAAGTAGTGGTAATACTGAATGGTTCCCAGTTGGAAGTGTGACCTCTGTATGATGCTCTTTTTTTCCTAACTCTTCAGGATTTGTGAACTTGGGACACACCCAGATCAAAAGGCAACCCCAAATCTGGAACACTTCATTGTCATGGAGTCAGAGCTTTGGAGCTGCTCTGTTTTCAGTGTGCTGGAGCAAATCCACCTTAATGGCAGACACAGAGGGAGATGGATTATGCTTGATTGGAAACTTTTCTGCATTCATATGTTATCTTTTCCCAGTTCAAAGAAGCCAGAGAATCTTCTTCCATGGGAAAGCAAGAGCTCCCAAAGCTCAATAGAGCTCTTGGCACAGCTTTTGAGGGTGGTATAGCAGAATTGCAAACCCAGGAATTACTGAAAGACAGAAAAATCTGGGAACATCTGCTGTGGTTTGCATTGGTAGTACCATCCATGTATTATATAAAATACAAAAATAAGACAGACTGTAAGGAAATTAGTACAGCCCAGGATTCTGGTGGTATCAAATGAAATTTATGATACCAAATCCTTTTGATGTATTTATCCCCTTGTCGTTCTGTTTCTTTTATATTATTCTATATGTAAGAGATAGTTCTCCAAAGATACATATATATTCCTTCACAGGTTAAATAAAAGCAAGTCACACTGAATAAGAAAATAATAAAAAGTAATATCCTAATTCTGTACCCATTTTTTGTTTTTCAGGTAAAAATAGCATGAAATACATTCAGTAGCAAAGCCATTGGGACCCAGGAGAAATGGAGAGCCCTGTATTCCTGGAGAATTGACCTGTATGGGTTAAGTCACAATCCTGAAATAAATTGTGTAGACTTCTGACCTGGGAAAGATAAGGTCTTGGTCAATGCTGAGCATTATTTATCCAGTTGCAAATTCCTTGCATTTCCCAAAAGCCACCTATGGATTAGCTCAGTTCTAAAAGCTGCTGTGACATACACCTCCCCTAACACCTGAGAGATCCAAACTTGAGTGTTTCATCATGTCTCCCTTAGTGTTATTACCTGGAAGGAGCTAATGGGACAGTTCCCAGTAGGATATTGGCACAATAGGCAGACAAATGAGTTAGTTTTAACTTCTGTGTTTGCAGCCCCCTCAGCAGGGTCCAGCAGGGTCCGGGAGTGCTTGTCAGCCACAGCAATCCCTCAGAGCTGAGGGGAACATCTCTGCCCTCCCTTCACACTCAATCAGACATGACACTTACTATGGTTTTCTCTCTAGCAGCTGGAAGAACACCAGCACTGTAAGGTAAGAGTGCTTCTGGTATCAAAGCCAAGGGTGTTTAGGCTTAGAGGAGATGGTGCAGAAGTTGCCAATTATCCCTGAGTCTAACAGTAAACGAAAATCCTCTGAGTAAATGAAAATCACCTGATTGTTGTTTTCCCACACATACAAGTAGTTTCATGGATTTCACTGCAGCTACTTAACAGAAGGAAAGGAATAGCCCCAACTTGATCCTGTGGAGA